AACCCTGACATTTGAGTAATCAAATTGATGGCCAGTTTTTAAGTGATGGTCAACTGCCGCACATGTGTTCTTCCGTTTTGTGCGTTCACTTTTGTGTTGGGTGACCCTTTGTTTTAGCCATTGAGAAGTTTGGCCAACATAATTTTGTTTGGATTGCCAGAGCTGTTATGTTGGCCAAACTTCTCAATGGCTAAAACAAAGGGTCACCCAACACAAAAGTGACTGCACAAAACGGAAGAACACATGTGCGGCAGTTGACCATCACTTAAAAACTGGCCATCAATTTGATTACTCAAATGTCAGGGTTTTACAGCAAGAAAATAATTATAAAAAAAGATTGTTTTTGGAAATGTGTCATATAAATAGAGAAAACTATACAGTAAATTACAAGGCAGACACGGGACAGTTGAGCAATATCTACTGTAATATTCTTAGTATGTCTAAATAATTTTTCTGTTAACAATTATATTTTAAATCACCCTGTATATTTTTAATGTGTAATTTTATTGTGTTTTAATTGTTTCGTTGTTTTTGTTTGCTCTGTTTTTATATTTTTACATTTAATTACTAGTGACCTAGGTACTTTTAACAAAAACTGTCAGTACTGTTTTGAACAAATTATGTTCAACTTGTTTAAATACTTTCCACTCTAAATCTGTAAGTGAGTCACTTTTTATTCAAACTGATTTTTATATTTATAACTTTTATTCAAATTTTTAGTTGTCTCCTGATGAAGCTGACAAAAAATCAGCGAAATATAGAGGATTAAAAGAAAAAAGAGTCTTTTTTTTTAATAATAACAGACCGCATACCCGATATTCCAACACAATAAATTATATATATATATATATATATATATATATATATATATATATATATATATAAATATATATATATATATATATATATATATATATATATATATATATATATATATATATATATATATATATATGTTTTATTGTTAAAATATTAGTGCAGTTTTGGCTAAAAACTATAAATAAATCGATAGGTACTAATAGCTTACCTTCAAAGATTAATACAGTACTGCAAGTTTGACACAAAACTTAAAAAGATCGGAAGACCTCCGCGGTACGTACCGTGTTACGATTCAAATTATTATTATATTACGACTAGGGTCGCCCGGGCCACGAACTTCATTTCGAATACTATGAGATTTGCCGCGAAATCCTACACAAGGCGTTCTTTGAACTATCGACATCGGTTGACTAATCGTGGAAATACGCATTTCGAATAGTGAGAATGTAAAGAAAGATTTCTACAAAAATTTAAGATAATTACATGTATAGGACCTCGGGGTCCGGAACCGCCGTAAAGGTGTTAAAAGTCCTTTCATATTGTGGTCATTTTTCCTACGGCGACTTTTGCTAGATCATATCTACGTTTTAGTTCTTCGCGTAGTGATAGTGTATTTGTTATCAATAATTCCAGATATAAGTATGAACTCACAAACTCAAATCGGTCAATGTTGGTATGCACGGATGATTTTTATAAATTGAAAAAGACTGTAAGACTTGTACACACTTCTAAATAGGTCTAACTGGTAAGCAGGTTTTGTATGTTTTCAATAAAATTGATAGTGTGTAAAATAATTTATTAATTAAGCTGAGTATACTTTCAACATAATAAATGTCATCATCAGAGCTATCCTAAAATAACGTTAAGTTAAGTAAATTTTTTATAAAATACAATGACAGAAAAAACTTACGTCAATTAGGCAATAAATACTTCATAGAAGGAAAATTGTGGACAAACAACATATTAAAAAACAAAGATCGGGCTCTCTAGGCCACAGATCTTGGGTCTAACCCTTATACATATGTATAATTCACATCAAATACTTAAAATAGAAAACATGGTTACCACATACAGCGACGACAACAGCTGTTTTTGACTTACATTTTTGAAGTAAGATGAAGGAGGAAGCTCGGATATACGGAAATAAATCCGAGAGCGACCTCTGTATTTAAAATTATTAATTGAAAATTGAAAATGTCTAAACTGACGTCTGAAGGTTATTGATTATTACTTTTAGTTACTATAGAATTTTAAATTTAAATATTTTAAATTGATAAGTCAACGTGAAAATTTAAAATATACATTTATCAAAATTATCAAAAAACAAAACTTTTAAAGTTTGACCAAGTAGAAGAAAGTAGATGAAAACGAACCAAGGAGAAGTATCATTTGCTAAGTTAAGAGTTCAATAGCTATTATTGATTATCAATATTATTAATAAAATAAATAAAGAAGAAGAAAAATATCAAACATTTTCTACTTAGATGAAATCAATGAAAGAAAATTCAAGAAATTTTCTTTTTTAAAAATTTTTGTTTAAAATAAAGGTCAAAGCTTGATCAATCGATGGTTAATTGTATACTAAATGTATTATTAAAGAAACTTCTTGAAGATTGGATCAAACTTACAATTTAAGTTAATTTGAGTGTTGACACAGTTCTGAGGAGTCATTTTCATTTCTCTACTGATTTCAAGATCTTCTAGTAAAGTCATTTTTATATAATTATTATTGGGTATACTGTGTAGGATCTTGCTATCTCTATGAGGACTAAAGCCATGCTTTGAAGCATGTATATGATTTTCAAAACTAGATTTATCAATCTTAGACAGATGTTCTTTAATGCGTATATCCAACGGTCGCATTGTTCTACCCACATAGGTCACCGGGCATTCGCCACAGGATAATTTATAAATACCACTTTTTGGCGATTTGTTGATTTTGTCTTTAGTGTGAGAAAAAATAGATTTGATACTTTCTTTAACTTTGAAAGAAAGTTTTAGATTAGGAATGTTATTTAAGATTCTGGCTATATTATCCGAGGGATAACCTATGTACGATATTGATCGATAAATAACTGTCGAGTTAGAAATGTTATGGACAGTGTTGTATGCTAGTGATCTATTCTTTTTATTCCTTAATTTGTTGAATATGTTATCAACCAAAGTAGGGGTATAACCGTTACTATAAGCAAGTTGTTTAATAATTTCTAATTCTAATTTAAAATTTGAATCTGACAGAGGTAAGCTAAGTAAACGATGAATATAGCAATAAGAGGAGGCCATTTTCTGTTGAAAAGGATGATTATAATATAATCATCCTTTGATGATGAATTTGAATAAAGATTTTTAGTCTCTAAACTAACATGACATATGTCTTTATATCATTAACTGCAGACCAAATGATTGACTTTTGTTTTCAACCAATCGTATGAGATCAACTTACACTTCTTAACTATTTGCAAAAAGGACTGTGCCATCTGCAAAACCTAGGTTGTTTATTTTTTGACCGTTTATGATGTACTTTTCTATCCTTCATTCTTCTTACATTATACGTCCTTATTATAATGTTCTTATAATATTTGCTAAAACAGTATACATGCTTGTAAATAAATATAAATTTTAGTAATGACTTACCTGAAAGGTTATAATGTTACGTTTTTCGAACTTTCGCGGCCACAAACAATACACTTAAATAACCTTTTACTAAAATAGTAAGTAAATGACCCTTAAACATTTTTAAATTTGTACTTCGTATATATTTTGTATGACAAATACAACCAATAACCTACATCCAAACAAAACGATCTTTTAATTTTAATTATGTGTTAACCTGAAACGTAAAAAATAGTGAACGTATCGTGCAACTTCGTGTCAAAATAGCGAGCAATAACTAAGAAGACAATCATCTTTGTGACTTTATACACGATATGAAGACACATTATAAACAAAATGATCTTTTAATTTTAATTATGTGTCAACCTAAAACGTGATACATGTATGTATATATATATATATATAATAATATATATACATATATAATGAACCAGAAATATTTGCTGACCACGCAAGGAAGTAAACTTTAAATATTGGGTATGCAGCAATAAAAATGAAAGGTGTACTCTTTAATTTTTATTCCAAGCTTTCGGACATTGGTTATGTCCTTCATCAGGGAGAAACTTAATGAGGTTGTATCATAAATGATTTTATAAAAATTGTTGATAAAATTTATCACAGTCTGTTGAGCTAAAACCTATTCCTATATTTAAAATTTTAAAAATTACTTAACATTCACACAAACTTAATTATTTATACTTAATTATATACGTTTTACATATACTTGTGTATAAATAATTAGGTTTGTGTGAATGTTAAGTAATTTTTAAAATTTTAAATATAGGAATAGGTTTTAGCTCAACAGACTGTGATAAATTTTATCAACAATTTTTATAAAATCATTTATGATACATCCTCATTAAGTTTCTCCCTGATGAAGGACATAACCAATGTCCGAAAGCTTGGAATAAAAATTTAAAAGAGTACACCTTTAATTTTTATTGCTGCATACCCAATATTTAAAGTTTACTTCTATACATATATATATATATATATATATATATATATATATATATATATATATATACATATATTACACGTCATTAGAATTTCCACTTTCTTTATTCACTTAATATGTCAGTTGAGTGGGTGAACGACGTTTGCCTCTGCGACCTTCAACGTCTTTCAAAAAAGTGTGATTGTTAAGCTCTTGGAGTATTAATTAGGTTGTTCTATACTCTGTTCATAAAACGCGAAGCATTCTCCTCAAGCACCATATCCCGAAGACCTCCTAAAAGCTGTCCTACGTCTTCTACATATTTTAAGTGCCAGTAGGAACCAGAAAGAGAGGCAGGAAAAGATCTAGATTAAAAATCAAGTCGAAGATGACTTGAGGAATCTAGGGATCAGAAATTGAAAAGCCAGAGCGAAAGATACCGGGATGTACCTTTAAGTTGTACCTTTCTTATAAATAAAATTAAATTGCTCATAAGATTAATTACTGCGTCATTTGTCTAATCTCTATATTTTACATGGTGGGCCTTTCTTTATAAAGCGTGTAAAAATAAATTTTGATAGTATTTTGAATATATACTTACGTTAATAAAAATATAACTTTTTTATTTTAGGTTTCATGGATACGACACAGAGATCTTCATCTTTTGACTGTCGGCCGTTTTACGTATACTTCAGATCAACGATTTGTTAGTATTCACAATCCTATGACCGAAGATTGGACATTACAGGTACGATATCCGCAACGACGGGATAGTGGTGTCTATGAATGTCAAGTAGGAACAACCCCACCAATGGGACACACGATGGTGTTATCAGTTGTGGGTAAGTCTAAAATAAATTATTACTTTTTTTAGTAAAGTAATAAGGAGATATATGTATAAATAATTGAATTAATCATGGAGATACAAAGATAATTTATAACAGTGACTGACCTGTTCAAAAAACATCTTTCGTTTATACAAAGGTTGGTTGATATTTTTTCGAGGTTTAACCGTAGATTACCGGACTTGTTTAGCCGCACGTGATTATCGAAATATCGTAAATTTTACTACCTATAACATATGCCTTCTAATTACAAAACGTATATTTAAAATCTGAACAGGACAGTTTTTATTACTATAATAACATATTTTAAACGAATTAAAAATAGAATTGGTTAATGTTTTAATCAATTTGTCCACGATGCTCACCGCATATCGCATGCTTTTATACTTGGCAATATGTAGTTCCCATTTGCCGTTTTTGTCTTGGACAAAACAACAGCAAATTTTTCTTTTACTTTCTTGATAATATGTGGAAACTTTCCGCAGCAGGTATCTTAAAATATGAGCTAAATCGTAACGAATATTGCGACGAAAAATAGAGGTTACGAATTTTTGTCTCAACCTTGGTTCTGCAAGAGAGTGGCTCAAATCAACCACATATTGGTACCTAGAGACGGGCTTTTTACCTCGTTTGAATGTGTTGTATCTGTAAATGACATAGGAATTAATACTGGCTATAATAACCATATCATAAAATACACACAACGGCCATCTTCGGGTTTTCCTGTTACAGCTCATGTTGGAACACATTTGGTCAAAAGTATCTATGCCTGACTTTGTGTTATTGTAATTTTTTATAATTACAGGCTTGCCTGTTTCTTCTGATAATTTTGCCGTTTCGTGCAAAGTTGAAAGCAGTAAAACTAATTTCTGTTTTTTAGGGACGTAAGATAACAAAGTTTTCTTCTGATCAAAACAGAACATCAAAAAGTTTGCATATAGATCTTTTAGTGCCAGCATCTCTATGGGAATTTCTTTTGTCGGTCTACTTGTCATCAGAGCTTCAGAAACACGTGTAAGAAAATGGTAAGAGACTCAGATTAAATCGAGTCTCTTACCATTAAATTGCAACCGTCATTTATTTGTTATACTCGACGCAATGAGTACAAAAATGATCGTAATTTATATGGGTGAATTGTTGATGCATAGGGAATATAATAATCTCAGATCGCTCTGAATGGCTTGATTAAGCTTGGGTATACAGTTTACTTTAATTGCTATCGATATTTAACTTCATCTTTCCTTACTAGAGGTCTCTAGTAGCATACTCTGGTAATTATTTTCCTATAATTGCCTTAGTAGTCGGTGCGTTTTGATTTGGTTTGAGTCTTCTTGCAAACTCTCTCTGATGACGGGTAGACCCAGAAACACGTGTAAGAGACTCAGATTAAATCGAAACGCAACCGTCATTTATTTATAAATTACTGAAATACAACAAACCGGCATATGTTTCGTGGACCTTAAGAAGGCATCTGAGAAGGTCAAATAAAAAAACGTTATCCACTTACTATAGGCAAGGAAAATACCCCTGTGAGTAATTAAAACGGTCGAAAATATCTACCACAACAACGCAATAGAGTAAAAGTAGAAGAAAAACTAACCGATCCTATTAAAGCTGGCAATGGGATAAGACAGGAAGATTCCTGAGACCTCAACTGTTTAATTTGATTATGGATAAAATAATAAAAAAGTAAGAACTAAAAAGGATACCAAATGGGAGAAAAACAACTTAAAATAATCTGCTATGCAGACGACGCAATACTACTCTCTTAAAGTGAAGATAATTTACAACGTATGCAGCACCAATTTCAGATAACTGCCAGAAAATTTAACATGTTAATTTCCCCAAAAAAGCAAAGTGTATGGTTACTTCATTAAATTTACCAAGATGTAAATTGGAGCTGAAAGGTCAGATAATAGAACAAGTGATGGAGTTTAAATATCTGGACATCACATTATCTAGCTACGGAAAGCTTGAAATGGAAGTGGAAAATCAAGTGAATAGAGCAAACAGAGCCGCAGGTTGCCTGAATCAAAAAATATGGAGACATCAAATTGTCGGGAAAGAAACGAAAGGCAGAATTTACAAAACAGTCATCAGAATAATAACGACATACACGGCAAAAACAAGACCTGACACCTAAAGGACAAAAATTATGTTAGAAACAGTAGAGAGAAATAGCTTTCTCTTTCGAGTCCAATTTAGCTTAGCTGCGTAGTTTTTTGTAAAATGATAAAAACAAAATTGTATTTATTTACTTCTTCAACCAAATACTTTAGATTACCTTTCTTAAACGACACCCTGATATTCCACGTTTTTTTCCATCCTTTTTACCCCATCACTTAAAAAGATGAGTTAGATACATTTTTAGGAATAATGATTATGGCTGACTAAAAAGAGTTGGTACGTTCCAATTAGAGAAATATTTTTTAATAATTATTTGAATCATATTTACAGAACTTGATTGAACTACAGTATAGATTGGACTGAATTGGAGTGAATTGGAAATAGCCAATTTCTTGGGAGGAATATGTATATAAATCAGTCTAAAATTGTATTGATACCAAAAATGAATGTAACAATTAATGAACGATTACTTGGCTTTTGCGGTAGATGTTAATTTACCCAATTTATGCCTACTGAGCCAGCCAAGTATGCCATCAAGTTCTTCTGGCTATGTAAATCATAAAGTGATATGCCATTAATGGAAAAATATATATTGGAAGACAACTATTTGATGATGTTTAAAGAAATTTTGGCTTAAATATTGTAAATAAATTGATAAATTCAATACGCCATAGTTCCAGATATCTAGTAGTTGATAACTTGTTTACAAGTATTAAATTAGAATTACTGCAGTTAGAATCATTAAAAGAAATAAAAGGGACATTTTGGACGAAATACAAGCAAATAAGGATATACCTGTAAATTCTTCTTGTTTTGGAGTTATACGCGAAAATATTACATTGGTGAGTTACTAACTAAAAAAAAACTGTCATATTACTAAGCACTCTACATAATGAAAAACATATTATTCAAAGAAGAAGAATAGAAATTATACATTTCTACAATAAAAGAAAAGGAGCTGTTGACATAGTGGACATAATTGATCAGAAAATTTCAAATTGTAAAAGACCAACAAAATGATGCCCAGTTGTTATCTGACATAATGTGATGGATTTATAGGATCTCAATGCATTTAAATTATATTTCTCTGAATACTCCGACTATAAGAATAAACAAAATAAAAAACGCAGATTATTCCTCAGGAACTGTCCACAGATTTAATTTTGCACTACATGAAAAAAATAGCAAAAAACGGAAAACTCCAAAAGCATATTCTTGAAGACATGAAAAAATTTGTAAAAACTGGCAACTAAAATGAAAGCCCGACTGCAGCGAAACTTTTAAAAGCAACGATGCACTAAGAATACATCCAAAAAGGATGGAAAATGCAAACCAGTTTATGCCAATAATAATGCATTTATTTCCCAAGATAATTCAATTTGCATATGCAAAATATGCTGTTTAATTAAGGTCTCTTTAATTTTTTCTATTTTAATGTTTTTAAAAAAACATTTTAGATAAAAGCCAAGATAATAATTGGATGGTTTTACCTATGTTATATAAATGTGAAGAACAGCTCAGTTATGCATCCTAAAATTAGCTCAACCAAAGATGTTTACTATTTCAACTTTTTCACTATACTGTTATTTCAGTTCCTATTTCTCTCTAGTTAAAATTTTTTATTGTCTTTCTTAATTCTTTCTGCACATTATTTTATTTTTTTTGTTTTTATTCTTTTTGAATCTTTTTTATTTTCTTGCATATTCTTCGCCCTTTCATTATGTATGACGTCTAATAAGCTTTCATTTTCTTCTTTCTTTATGTTCTTGGTGTCTTCTTTCTTTATGTTTTTGGTGTCTTTTTATTTTTGAAATGATTATCTTCTAAATCATCTACTAAAATAGGTTTCCTCTTACCTTTATGTGTCATTAAATCAACTGAATTTATTTTCTTGTACTGCGAGAAGAACCACTGTTCAGGTCGACTTTAGAGGCTCGATTCGTCTCAGTACTATTTTTTTTTTATTTAACTTAATGTCTACCAATGTTAAATATAAGTCAAATTTAGAGTAAAAATCTAAAGGTACTTTGAAATCCTTTCCGATACGTACGTCCTCTATGTTTATAATTTGGTTGTCGTGTTATTGTTTACTTATTTTTTTTTCGGTATTTACTGGTATCTGTACAGATTATTAATATATATTTTGTACTTGCAGTTATTAAAATTTATATTTATCTTTTTCACTTATTTCTATACGGTTAGTTACAATTACTAAATGCACTGCTTATTTGCATTTAAAATATTCTTCCAAAAAATTAAGATACACTACGAACCGATTTTTAAACTTTTTACTTCGACTAGAGATGGAGACTGCGATGATGAGACTATGATTAATATGGATGACAATTATGTAAACTATTACAGGTAACAGACAACAAACCGCATGCATTAAAAAATTTACGACCTTTTAGAAAACACCAATAACAACAAATTAATACAATAGTTAAATAAGACATAAGACAAACAGCATAACGATTGTCAATGTATCCAAAAGACATTTGAACGCAACAGAGTACCTGGTGCTCTCAAAAGATCTAAATTATGTTGTATTAGTCCCTAAACTAGTACTACCAATGCACAAAAAGAAAGAATATAGAGCACTGTCTAAAAGAGAACTGAAAAAAAGCATTAAATCAAAAGCAAATGATAGTATAGAGAATTTAAAGAACTAGAAATGAAGAGAAAGAGCTATTAAAGCTCTAAAATAAGATAAGTCCACAATAATTTTACCAGCTGATAATGGCGACGCAACTATAATTAAAAACAAAGTTCAATACAGAAATAAAATTTAAGAATTGGTGATATATAAACCTTACCTAAAACTAAACTAAATCCGAACAAAACAAAGTACTAGCAAACAAAATGTATAT